GTTTGTGTGTCTGAAACGCAATGTGATACAGTACAGTTTACACAGCACAGTATATGTTCTGTAGCTACTATTGCACTAAATGGTAACACTTGAATACGTTATGCAAATATGCAACTTGTTTGTTGAAATGTTAATAAATGGGAGCTTCCTCAAGCAGCCATCTCTTTTCCGACAATCCCCTCTGTGCACGAACCCTTACATATGGTAATTAAACATTAAAACACCTGCGGCTTATAGTCCAGTGCGGCTTATATATGTACACATCATTCAATATCATTCAATTTAGCTGCTGCGGCTTATACTCCGGTGCGCCTTATAGTGCGGAAAATACGGTACTCATCTTGTTGGCTGATGAAAAATAAAATGTGGACAGTTCTTCCAATATCTTCCATATGCGCTTCGGAATTGGATTAGAACGCCCGCAGTTGCGTCCCCGATGTGTATGTCTTCACTTGTATGTAGCCTGTGAGAAAAACCTGATCACGTGACGGAAAGCCATGTGAGTGAGAGGTGCTTCGGCACGCAGCCGGGAGAAGGGAAGCAAAAGGCAAGGATTTTTTTAGGTGGCATTGCTGCCACAAAAAGGGGATGCAGCCTGAAAATTTGAGGCATTCATACATTCTTGTCAAAGTGCTTGTCAAATTGTGAATGAGAGACTGATGAAGTGTTTACAGCCTGCGCAAAAAACAAAGCAGAGCTCATGCCTTTCATGCAACTTTTTTCAAATCATCATTAGTCGCATCATGCAGCCTTAGAATGTATTAAAAATCTAAACATATAGCCCAGTTTGTATCACAACTAAAGTTACATAAATAAGCATATAGGAGTACCTGTTTCTTTGATAACCGCTCAACACAGAAGAGACGCATGTGCGCACTCCCTCAAATGTTTGGAGAAAATATCCTTTCTATTTTATTCAGCTGTGTTCCAATTGTATTCTTCATACTATAAAATAATATAAAATAATGCCACGGAATTCTAAGCAAATATTTTCTGCTAAATGAACTAGTGTAGCCCACAGCCATATGGCATAGCCCACAACGTTAGACACGTACCCACAACGTCCGTGTCTAACGTTAGACACAACGTTAGACACGGACACAAATGATCTGCTTGGCGTGTTGACACACTGGTGGTTTGTTGTGGCCGAGTATTGGTGCTAAACCGTGTTGTTGGAGCCCGGCATGCTCGTTGGCTGTGGAGTCATATGACTAGGTGCCCTGGACGATTTTCACGGAAGAATACTGTACCAAGTTAGCTAGCTGAATAAACTAAGTTAGTCTATTCCTAGAAAACATTGAACCGCTGTAGTTTACAACAATTATAGTTTCTGAGGTGGAAGTTGGGAGAGTTATATTTGGGTGTTTCAGTGAAACGTAAGTGAGGGAGGCCCCGCTCTCTCCTTTCCCAGATATTTAGTTCATTTCATTCCGATCTCCTTTGCATTATTGTAGTCATTTTCTGTAGCCTGTCAACTATGCCTCTGTCTATCCCTGTTCTCTCCTCTCCGCACAGGCTATACAAACACCTCACACCACGTGGCTGCTGCCTCTCTAACCTGGTGGTCCCTGCACGCACCACCCACCTGGAGGTCCAGGTCTCAGGCAGCCTCTGGAACTGCCGTTCTGCTGCCAACAAGGCAGAGTTCATCTCAGCCTATGCTACCCTCCAGTCCCTCGACTTCTTGGCGCTGACGGAAACATGGATTACCACTGAAAACACTGCTACTCCTACTGCTCTCTCCTCGTCTGACCATGTGTTCTCGCATACCCCGAGAGCATCTGGTCAGCGGGGTGGTGGCACAGGAATCCTCATCTCTCCCAAGCGGACATTCTCTCTTTTTCCCCTGACCCATCTGTCTATCTCCTCATTTGAATTCCATGCTGTCACAGTCACTAGCCCATTCAAGCTTAACATCCTTGTCATTTATCGCCCTCCAGGTTCCCTTGGAGAGTTCATCAACGAGCTTGACAAGTTCCTTTCTTGAGGATGGCTCACCCCTCACAGTTCTGGGTGACTTCAACCTCCCTACGTCTACCTTTGACTCATTTCTCTCTGCCTCCTTCTTTCCACTCCTCTCCTCTTTTGACCTCACCCTCTCACCGTCCCCCCCTACTCACAAGGCAGGCAATACGCTTGACCTCATCTTTACTAGATGCTGTTCTTCTACTAATCTCACTGCAACTCCCCTCCATGTCTCCGACCACTACTTTGTATCCTTTTCTCTCTCGCTCTCCTCCAACACTACTCACTCTGCCCCTACTCAGATGGTAATGCGCCGTCGCAACCTTCGCTCTCTCTCTCCCGCTACTCTCTCCTCTTCCAGCCTATCATCTCTTCCCTCTGCTCAATCCTTCTCCCTCCAATCTCCTGATTCTGCCTCCTCAACCCTCCTCTCCTCCCTTTCTGCATCCTTTGACTCTGTATGTCCCCTATCCTCCCGGCCGGCTCGGTCCTCCCCTCCTGCTCTGTGGCTTGATGACTCATTGCGAGCTCACAGAACAGAGCTCCGGGCAGCTGAGCGGAAATGGAAGAAAACTAGACTCCCTGCGGACCTGGCATCTTTTCACTCCCTCCTCTCTACATTTTCTTCATCTGTTTCTGCTGCTAAGGCCACTTTCTACCACTCTAAATTCCAAGCATCTGCCTCTAACCCTAGGAAGCTCTTTGCCACATTCTCCTCCCTGCTGAATCCTCCTCCCCCCCCCCCCCCCCCCCTCCTCCCTCTCTGTGGATGACTTCGTCAACCACTTTGAAAAGAAGGTTGACGACATCCGATCCTCGTTTGTTAAGTCAAATGACACTGCTGGTCCTGCTCACACTGCCCTACCCTATGCTTTGACTTCTTTCTCCCCTCTCTCTCCAGATAAAATCTTGCGACTTGTGACTGCAGGCCGCCCAACAACCTGCCCGCTTGACCCTATCCCCTCCTCTCTTCTCCAGACCATCTCCGGTGACCTTCTCCCCTACCTCACCTCGCTGATCAACTCATCCTTGACCGCTGGCTATGTCCCTTCCGTCTTCAAGAGAGCGAGAGTTGCACCCCTTCTCAAAAAACCAACACTCGATCCCTCTGATGTCAACAACTACAGACCAGTATCCCTTCTTTCTTTTCTTTCCAAAACTATTGAGCGTGCCGTCTTTAGCCAACTCTCTTGCTATCTCTCTCAGAATGACCTTCTTGATCCAAACCAGTCAGGTTTCAAGACTGGTCATTCAACTGAGACTGCTCTTCTCTGTGTCACGGAGGCTCTCCGCACTGCTAAAGCTAACTCTCTCTCCTCTGCTCTTGTCCTTCTAGACCTGTCTGCTGCCTTTGATACTGTGAACCATATATATACAATATACATATTGATACTGTGATACTGTGCATTGCGTTCATCCACCTCTGGCCTGCTGGCTCCCCTTCCTCTGCGGAAGCATAGTTCCCGCTCAGCCCAGTCAAAACTGTTCGCTGCTCTGGCACCCCAATGGTGGAACAAGCTCTCTCACGACGCCAGGACAGCGGAGTCACTCACCACCTTCCGGAGACATTTGAAACCCCACCTCTTTAAGGAATACCTGGGATAGGATAAAGTATCCTTCTACCCCCCCCCCTTTACTCCAACCCACCCCCCCCCCCAAAAAAAGAAAAAACATTGTCAAGTGGTTATCCCACTGGCTATAAGGTGAATGCACCAATTTGTAAGTCGCTCTGGATAAGAGCGTCTGCTAAATGACGTAAATGTAATGTAAATGTGTCACAGCAACACACATCACTGAGCCCAGTGCATTGAGTGGAATTGCTGCATGCACAGGCTTGTTGGGTGACATCCAAAACACTACCTGTGTTCTCCACGTGTCACGCCCTGGCTCTGGGGACTCTGTTATGTTGAGCCAGGGTGTGTAGAGTCTATGTTTTGTGTTTCTATGTTCAGGATCTAGTTCATTGTGTTTCTATGTTGGCCGGGGTGGTTCTCAATCAGAGGCAACGAGAATCAGCTGTTGCTTGTTGTCTCTGATTGAGAACCATACTTAGGCAGCCGTTTGGGCATTTGTGTTTGTGGGATCTTGTTCCGTGTATGGTTTGTGTATGTACCCAAGGACTTCACGTATCGTTTTGTTGTTTTTGTTCGTGTGGTGAATGTTTAATAAAAGTATGTTCGCATTCCACGCTGCGCATTGGTCCACTCCTTTCAACGATCGTGACACCACGCTGTATGATATATGACTAAATGTAGCCTAACCTTCAGTAGGAAGTGTGATACTGTACATCCAAGACAGAGACAGTTGTCTGATTTGCAAGGCAAAAGATGTGGTCCTCTGTAGCTCAGCTGGTAGAGCACGGCGCTTGTAACGCCAAGGTAGTGGGTTCGATCCCCGGGACCACCCATACACAAAAAAAATGTATGCACGCATGACTGTAAGTCGCTTTGGATAAAAGCGTCTGCTAAATCGCATATTATTATATTATTATTACAAAAACCACAGTCTGACACCAACAATACTCAATTCCCCTTATTGAAAGGTCTACCCTCCCGCACAGAGTGAAACAGTGCACTCTCTTGTACATCAGCCCTTTTCTCACATCCATGTGATACTATAGATATAACTGTCATATTCACAAATATTGTAGTGGGCATATGACAACCAACAAAGACAACATTCAAATCAGCACTGTGATGGGGGACATAAAATGTCCTTTTGGGCCAAATTCTGGTAACTCAAAAATAAATGCATGAATGGACATCATCATTTTGGGATTAAAATAAGGGATTACGTCCCTGTGATTCAATGAAAGAGCACAGCCCTTCTTTGGTGTTGCTCCAAGTTGGTCTGCAACCTTGACAGTTTGAGAGTCCTCTTGTCATGAGTGGGTCTAATGGCTTACTCTAACACTGTCCTCTCACTCTAATGCCACTTGAATGTGAGAGGAGATGAGACAGGAGAGAGATAGAGAGAGAGAGAGAGAGAGAGAAGAGAAGGAGGGAGAGAAGAGAGGAGAGATAAGAGTGAGACATCACCTCTTTGTAGGAGGACATGATCCTCTCGATGGCGTCAGCTCCAGAGGCCAGGAGATTGCGTGCGGTGGTGAAAGCCTCTGTCCTCTCGCTCACCAGCACCTGAGTCTGACCGTCGGCAGTCTCTGTGAGAGGGGAAATTAAGGATAGACACTATGAGATGACATACTGGGACCCTAGCCCCTTGGCTTTCTGATCTGTGAACACCTAGGGGGTATGGCCTAAGGAAGGGCCGAGGAACTAGGGAAAGGGAATAAAGACCGAAATGGAACAGAGCCATTCTGTGCTTAGACCAGTAAGACTGTAAAGACTGCTCTTTTTTTTGTGGCCAAAAACCCAATAGTTGCCATGTTATCAGTGTGTATGACACTGATGGGGGTGGAGACCACAGGAGGTTGGTGGCACCTTAATTGGGGAGGACGGGCTCGTGGAATCAAATACATCAAACACATGGTTTCCATGTGTTTGAGGCCATTCCATTCACTCCGTTCCAGACATTATTATGAGCCGTCCTCCCCTCAGCAGCCTCCACTGGTGGAGACAATAGTAGCATTCAGTTAGTTAGCAGCTAACAGGACAATAGGGACAATAAGATGAATATACCCTTATCAGCACAACAAAGTCCTTGACACCATTCACTTGAGTAACACCTACATGGTATCATTGAGATAGTTGGTTCCTGTGGGTTAACACATGCTGATCATCTACTACTGTACGTGGAATATGCAAATGAAGAGGGAAAGGTTTTTGGACTATGTGAGATCAGCACCAAATGACCTAAATAGAATCAAATGTCAATTGGTTCAAATGAAAGACGGAATAGGCTACCTACTGGTATGCACAAACAGAGATAAACCATGACAACTATTCCCTCTTCTCCGGAGATGCTGTACTTGAAAACAAGAGGCTTTAGAAGAAAACAAGATGATCTTGTGATGACTGTTACCGCTGTCAGCGAAGCCGGTAGCGGTGATGATGGGCACAGCCACCATGACCAGTCCACAGCTACTCCACACGTACTTCATGAGGAACTGCTCTATCATGATGTACCACAGACGCTTGGACAGGATCAAGTTCATCTGCTCTGCCAGGGCCCGGTAGCACTTCTGCAGCTGACGCATCTCCACCTGACACACACAGGACAGACAAACACAAACAGGCAGTTTACATACAAAAGTATCTAGCCTACACAGTATAGCACATTTACAACAAATGTATTACAATATATTTCACATTACATTCACATTGTATGTTAGTTATTTTGCACTTGCAGACAGTCTTATCTAAAATAAGTGCATATAAAGAGGCTGTCAATCAAATGATTGAAAATCACTTTTGGGAATTGGATATGATGTCATGGGTGTGCATTGGATCCAACTCCAAGGGATCCAACCCATGGGTATTTCTATTGTAATAAATACATCGTCACTTTGCAAGCAAAATCCACCATGCATCCTTCCTTGTATACCTTGTGACCCCTGTAGAAGGCTATCTCTTCTGCATTGGCAATTATCCTGGAATGCACATAGCGCAAATGGCCTTTCCTGTGGGCCTCCTCAGCTACTAGTTTTCCAAATTTCGGCGAGCAGGCCCGCAGAACCTTGGCCGTGCAAAACACCACCAGCCCGGCCAGCAGGGTCGGCCCGCTGGCGTTGGCCCCCCTGGACCGGGCCGTCTGGATGAGGGTGTAGGAGGTGAGTATCACATCCAAGATGGGCTTGGTGAGGTTCGAGTAGAGATGCGCCACGGATTGGGAAAACATCATTACGTCCTCGGTAAGAGACTGGTCCGGGTTGGTCAGTCTCCCGTCCATGTTGCTGACTTTGTAGTAGGTCTGGTCTGTGAAATAGGTGGTGTAGGCATGGTCCACTAGCCGAGTGCGGAAGGCGAGGGCCAGCTTGCACTCGAGGTAGCGGATGACGCTGTTCACGAATGTGGCCGGGATGGCAATAAGGAGCCATTTCATCAGTTGGATGATGAAGCTGCGTGGTTCTTTCTCAACGATTGTTTTCACAATCTTGCCATCCAAGCCAGCGACATAGATAGACAGAAATGTCCGGGAAATCAACGCGACCGAATGCAGAGATAGCAATCCGAGCTCTTTGGAGACAAGCTTTGGAAATAGGATTTTGATCAGTTCAAGTATCTGCTTAAAAAATTCAGCGTTTACCCCAGGCGACTTTTTATGACTCAGTGCATCTGTTTGTGATTTAACGCCAACCGTCGAGCCATTTTCCTCTCCTTTAGACCCCCTGTTATTCTTGCATTCTTTCCGTTTCACGAATTGTCTGCAGACGATGGGGTACAGGGTTTTCACCCCGTAGGCAGCGGCCGCGAGAAAGATAGCTCGCTTCGCTGCAGTCTTCCGGTCCCATTTCACTCTGGACGCTGCATCAAGTATATTGGACATCTTCCCCCCTACGAAGCGATCAAAGAGCTAGTCTTCTTTTATGTTAATCCGTGCTACATCCATCGGGAGTTAGTGTCATGATGGATCTTGATGCGAAAAGAAAAGGAAAAACCTTATACCTCATACAATGGTGTGATGTTTCAGCTAGAAAACCCAACCGCTAGATACGTTATTTGGTTTGGCAGTGTTTTCTTTTTATAGGCAACACCCCGGAAGGACACGATCGGTTGTGAGGGACGTATTCAAATGAGGTTCTGCTGTACGTTTTACTGCACATACTGTATTGTGACTATTTTCCCAGCATCTGTGTACAGTACACTGAATAAACTAATGTCATCATTGAAACAATAATAATTATATTTTGTTATTAAGTGTAATAACACGGTTCCTACCAACGCCTCTCATCTTTGAGAGTGACATAGTAGCTACGTCATTTATTCGATGTCTGTTGGCTTGGCTCCTGCATCTTTGTATTACCTGTCAACTCAACTGAAGCGTCATTACAATTGGCTACTTTATGAGAATGTTTCACTAGTAGCTAGTTGGCTATGTTTCATAAAAACTCAACAACTATCAACTAATTTATACTGTTAGATACATTTCAAAAGTGCTGATAAAATATATGGCCCAATAAAGTTTATTTTGTCTGTCTGATTTTACTGGACAAAATGAATTGGGTCGGTGGTTCAAGGTGAGTTTGACAGCTAGCTAGCTAGCTAACTAACGTTAGCTTGCTAAACTAACGTTAGCACTTTTACAGATGTGCTTGTTGACAGTCTGGGTGGAACGAGTTTTAGAAAACCTGCTTGTTACCAAATATTCAACATTAACTTTCTCTTTCTTTGTCAAATACCATTACAACTGTTACAGAACTGTTACTATTTAACAAAAATATTATATTGACCCCCTTTTAAAAATATTAAATTGACCCCCTTTTTAAGAGCAATTTTAACTTGATTTCCCATTATGAATATTACAGGAACCGGTTTATGATGAGAAATGACATGAAAAAACAGAGGGTAAGTTAAACCCACAGTGGCCTTAAATAAGGTATCATATTGTATACATTATAATACCGTATATGTGACATGATAATACATATGCCAACATTTTATCAGGAATTCTTTGAAAAGAAGAAAATGCAGAGAAAGATTAAAACCTTAGGAATACCAACCTCTCCTAAAGGAGCCAGCTCTGGAAGTATGGACCTAGTGACTTTATTAATAGTAAACCAGATTGCTGCAAAGAAAGAAAACAAAAGTGAGTTCAGACAGGCATCTATACATTATGGATAAATACTAATAACATTGAAAAAGGATCCCACCCACCCACAACAATAACTTGGTTTGTTAAATAATAATATGCCATTTAGCAGACGCTTTTATCCAAAGCGACTTACAGTCATGCGTGCATACATTTTTTTTTTGTGTATGGGTGGTCCCGGGGATCGAACCCACTACCTTGGCGTTACAAGCGCCGTGCTCTACCAGCTGAGCTACAGATTGTTCTAGATCAGCCAAAGATAACTCACATCACTGATGATAAAGGAGGACCCAAGTCGTTGAGGGAGGGGCCCCTGGAGTTACCCATGAGCCCTTGCTTTTTTTTTTTTTTTTTTACTACTGATGTATTTTAGTGTCCAGGCTGTTAGAAAGAGAAAGCACTGCATTCCTGATGGATTCACATGTAGACAGGTCAGTCACATTTACTCACACTGATTCATCTTTTCTGACAACACAAATAAATCACCTTACACCACTAGTACTCTTTTTACCATATTTCTGAACATACAGATACAGTAAGCTTTATGGAAATGATGACTCAACCTTGTGACATTTGGCTGGTTCATTGATTGTTGCTCTCAGCTCTCACCAGTGCTGGAGTCGAACATGTCAGACACCAGTACGTCAGACTACCAGCAACACATCCAGGACACCCTGAGCCCATTCTCCTCGGCATCGTCGTCAGTCTCCTCCTCAGGGTCCGGCCTGTTCTCCCTCCAGCAGAGAGCACAGGTCCTGCCACAGCCACACTGCTCCCCTAGATCCCCCTCGGATACCTCCACCTCAGAGCAACCACAGGTATTCATTCAAATACATTCATAGTAACAGTATTCCTTCATTTGGAATGGATTTAACCCCACCTCTACCCCACAAACACATGAAACAAAGACAAATGAATGTGCATTAATTCCACTGTACTAACAGTTTGTAAAGTAAAGATAAAGTATAACTGAAACCTAATGGATATTTGATTTTGTAGTTTAGACCTTTCTCTCAGCCAGGAGGGAGGAGAGAGTGTGCCCCTTGGGCCACGGGACCAAGTGGACCCAAACAGCAGCTGAACATGACCCCCCCAGTGTCTAGGGTACTGTTTGGAGGCACAGAGCCTGAGTGAGTACTGAACTGAAATATCAAAGATGTGTTTTTAACTGATATGCAGGAAATGTTGATTTTCTTTATCCATCTGCTGTTCATACATTATTGAGATTGACAACCTCCCCTGAACTGATATTCTCTTTTTCCTGATTTCCATTGCTGTATTGATTACATCTGTGAAGATAGAAGTATTAGTGGATATTTCCATAACTTGTGCACTGACTAATGGGGTGTGCATCTGCCTACCCAGTAGCACAGAGAGCAGAGACCATGCCATGCACACAGTGGGGTTCTCTATCAACCAATCGGAGGGCAAAGACCACACCTTTGAGTTCTCTCTCAAAGATCAGACAATGGAGTTCTCTCTCAACCAATTAGAGAGTGAAGAGCAACACGAAGAAGCACTCTTCAGGGCCTGCACTAATGAAGAATATGGAAGTGAAGGTACCTGTGCGTCCCAAATGGCACCCTATGCCCTATATAGTGCACTACTTTTGAACAGGGTCCATAGGGCTCTGGTCAGAAGTAGAGCACTTTGTAGGTAATAGGGTGCTATTTGCTACGCAGACACTGTCTAGTGTGCATTATGTAGGCAATTCATCACTAAAACTATGATACATGTTTTTGCAGAACGTTTGCCAATCTCTCTTTACTGACATATGTATGTCAATTCATCCCAGCATCTAATTTTAAGAAGGGGATGCCTAAGATATATCTCAAGAAGGAAGTACCGACAACGTCTTCCTGACTCAGGTAATTGCAGGCAGCAGCATTACATCAGGTGTCTATTGCCACCTAGTGGCATAATTTGAATAATTTCAGAGCTAAACAATGATGACAATATGATACAGTACCATTTAGCAGACTGTTATCCAAAGCGACTTACAGTCATGCGTGCAAACATTTTACATACGGGTGGTCCCGGAAATCGAACCCACTATCCTGGCGTTGCAAGTACCATGCTCTACCAACTGAGCCACAGAGGACCTGATGATAGTATGATGATAGGTTAAGGTAAGGGGAAATGTGTTCATACGGTGAAGGCTAGCCTGTTTCATTGTTACGTCTGTATTCCAACAGGTTTCCAACTGCACTGATGTCAGCTCATGTAAGTTTCCACACTATATTCAAAATCGTCTACTGTTCAGTGTTCACCACCTGTCTGACACTGATAGTCTGTCCCAAATGGCACCCTATTCTCTATATAGTGCCATATGAGGAATAATAGGGTGTCATTTGGGACGCAGCCTGGTAGAGACTTACCTGCAGACGTGTCTTCAGCTTGTCCTGGAAACACTCATCATGGTCCTAAGGAATGCTGTGAATCATCGCCCAGTTACTCTCCAAGAGGAGGTTACTTCAGTTCAGACTCTGATGATGACGTAAGTAAACAACAATGAATACTGTTTACATCTGCTTTGGTTAATGTACTGTAAGGGGATGCTTTGATTTCCCATAGATCCCATAGGCCTACCCTTACTGACTTGAAATTCATTATTGGTAACACTTTACATTTAGTTGCTCTTATAAGTCTGCGTAGTTACTGTTTAATAACATGTTGTGACATAGTAACTGCTTTGTATTTACATGGTAATATCAACATATTTCTTAGCCTGAGTCCCAGATCTGTTGGTGCTGTCTTGTCAACTCCATTGCTGTCACGTAGCATAACAATGACAGCAATGTAGTTGACAAGACAGCACAAACAGATATGACACTCAGGCTACATATTTTTATACTCATCTTTAAATGTCATATCAGGAGGTGGAGGATTATCACCAGTGTCACCAGGGTGGATCCTCACAGTCACACACAGTGGGGTCATGTAGTGAAGAGATCCCTGTCCTCAGCCAGGCCTCATCACATTGGAACACACAACAACGAGGTCACCCTCAGTCTCAACCCAGACCTGACACCCCACCCACTAGGCCTCAATGCACAGGGAACTGTGGAAACGACCAGAGAGATCATAAAGACCAGAGAGCTGTGGAGAGCTCAGGCTACTCTGAGAGACGGTCAGGCTGTGTAGTTACAGATGACAGTGACAGCCAGGTTAGGGTTATAGGCGATCAGTATGTCCCATCTCGTCCTCTGTCTGAATCACAGAGCTCTGAGGTCCAACAACAAAAGATGGCAGCCACCAGAACACAAGAAACACAAACACGAGAAATGGGAACACAGACTGTCAGCAACATCACCTCGAAATGTCCAACATCGGACGTTTCAACTCAGTGCAGTTTTTGACTGGAGTGTAAAGAAAATAACTTCATGGACTCTCAATCCCACAACAATTCTGCTTACAATGTAATACCGACGCCAACCACCAGAGGGCAGGCAAGTCACAGAAATGAGTCTATAAGACAACAGACACACAGCGCATTATCAGACAGATCCAGGAGGGAGAGAGAAGAGCACACGCCTTGGAGAAAATCAACAGCCAGAGAGCTCAAGGCTGGACCTGGGCACCATCCATCAATCATCCCGTTAAACAAGTGTCATAACACTAACACTGAGAGTAGAGTGTGTATTCAGAGACCCACTACCTCTATACTAAACGCTCTCCTCGTCACCAATGATGTGCAAGGAATAAATAGCAAATGTTTGATGTAATTAACTAATCAGTGTAGCCGAATATAGACATATCTATGGCAGATGATTTCCAAATCAATGCAAACAACTTCATATGTGGTGTAATTTATCATAGATCATCGATTGAAAGTAAAGCTAGTGAATGCGTGTAACAAGCACACGTTATACTGCAATTAAATGTACTCTGATCTGTATATGTTGACATTCTTCCGAACAGTTTGTTGCAGTTATTTTCTTACGGACCGAGATTCATTATGGTGGTATTTTCTTGTATTTTCAGTGGTATTTTGAAAATGGATGTTACTCCCTAATGATGTTTTTCTCTCTCCCAGACTTGAGAGGTGAGCAACTGCAGCATAGAGGACAGGGAGATGAAAGAGAGTTATAGGACCCTGTTGAGAATGTTCCTCTTAGAGATGACCTTCCAAATGAGAGAGAGGAGAAAAGGAGAGGGAGAGTAGAGGAGAGGGAGGTCACTGCTGAGAGCGGAGTTAACAGGCTTTCAGAGGAGGTTGAGACACTTCAGGAAATAGCAGACATTCTGCTCATGCTGAAGCAGAGGATAGAAGATGAGTGAAAGGAGGAGAGGAGAGAGGTGGGGAGGACAGGAGAGGAGGAGAGGAGAGAGGTTGGGGAGGACAGGAGAGGAGGAGAGGAAAAATCCCAAAGTATCCCTTTAAGAGTTGTGAATGACACTAGCAACTACATCCCTTTACCACCGAATCTGTTTCTGCATATTTAAACATTTCTAACAAGGTCCTTTGGATTCTACATTAAAACGAAAGCCAGACATTGCAAGATAATTCGTTTATTTTTTTTTTCCCGATACATATTCAAGTGTTCAAGATTCTCATGAATATATTTACTTTGATAGAATATAAATTCTAGCAAAACATTTACAGCAACAATAATCAAATGTATACTATACAGCACTGGATAAATCCTTTTTTTAAATCGAGTTCTTCTTCATAAACTGTAAAATAGAAACACTGCATTTAATTTGTTTTCACATGGAAAAAATTGCACCCGTTCACCATAAACACATTGGATGTCCCCATTTAGGAATTAAAGCAAAGAAGGCAATATAATAATAACACAATGGGTTGTCAAGGGGTTGTTGAGCGTCTTTCCTTAAAATTAAAGTGCATTCTGAAATCACAACACATCAAATATTTTGTTTGACACTATCTCATTTACAAGTCTGTTACATGACGGCAATGTTGTCACCTCTGTGAAGGGGATTTGCAGTAAAGCGTTGTATCTCTATAAAACTATCTGTGATCATAAAAACAGATACTTCGGTCTTCCAGTGAACCTCCAGTTTAGTCTACCTATAGTATCCTCTCTTTTCTAATCACATTTCTAATCAAATACTCAAATATTGATAATAAATACTCAATAATCCAATAGTGATACTGATGTTCCAATGAACTGGCAAAACACATCTAGTGATCCTTTGAAAAGCTGTCATTTCATTTCAGTCTAAAGAAAATCCTATTTGAATAGTAGCTATCTATCTTGTTTTGTCACAGACAATAATACACAGACATATTCTCAGCGACGTTATGTTGACCACTTTCAACGAGAGTCTGCTACACACAAATCTATGTGTACTCGAAGTACTCAACTAAAAGGTGTCACCTTACATAGTTTTACGATATACAAAACGACATTAGCAAGTACAGTTCAGTACTCCTCGAACCTTTAGAACACGAGAACCCCAGCTCTTTCACGTGAAGAGTATGCATTGTGATTTGTACATAAGGCTGTGGAGGAAGACACAAAGTAAAATGTGGAGACAAAATAAGACATTCTTTCTGACATTGTTTTCCCAAAGAGCAACTATGTGTGTGACGTAAACTGACTAAACTGTCAATTTCAATGTATGGGTATTCTCTCTGATGGACTGAGGTACAATACAACCCAATGAATAGTCTAGTCTACATTTAGCAATTAAAACATTTGTGCAACTTCTGAAATCAAAAAAGGCAATCATCACGCTGGCTGGCCATATAGTCAACTCCTTCATACATTTCACTTCAGTGCAGGCACCGACATCATGGGTCAAATACATTGGAATAAATAACATAATAATCCATAGGTTTACTAATGAGAAAATATAGACAGGTCATGTGCTACTGTAGCTCATCAACAACCAACATGATTAAACAAACAGCAAAGCAAGACTGAACTTCATCATTAGACGGAGACCAGGTTGCGTCCCAAATGGCATGCGATTCCCTTTATAGTGCACTACTTTTGACCAAGGCCCATAGGGCTCTGGTTAAAAGTAATGCACTATATAGGGAATAGGGTGACATTTGGGACGCAGTCCCCAGGTGTACTACTAGTGTCTGAAAACCCATTTGTGATGCTACAGACAAGCTGAGACAATATTTTACTGAGATGTGTTTCATATAGAAAGGCATACTGGTATCAACACTGTATACATTATATGACAACCCATCTCTCTAAATGTAACACTTGTAATATCATGGCCATTTTGGTGGACGTTTGGCCTCCTACAATAAGGTTTTGTTGTGAGGAGGTTGCATCTCTAATCATAGGGTTTTATGTGAGGGAAAAGGAAATAGTTTTGTTAATCTTGGTTGGTCTGCCTCACATATGGAAATTCATAATTATGCAACGTATGAACAGTAAAATAAATGTCTACATGCTGAGGATTAGTATGAATTTAATGTATGCTTAATACTACTTACATTATGGTTTATAAATCAAAAATAATTATCTTCAAACTATAGATGTTCCTACAACATTCAATTGGCACAGTCAAATGTGTAAGTAACTCACATGTTATAAATAGCTACCCTGTCTGTGATAAAGATGGAGCAATGTAACCTACGTGACTGTGAGGCAAACCAGAGAACAGGACTTGGGGAGGTTGTAGATCAGGGGCTGTATGTACCAAGCTTCCTGTCCATGTAATCTTATTCATTATGATCTAAAAGGAAAAACTGATCCTAAATCAGCGCTCCTACTCTGAGTCACTTGATACATACTTTCTAAGATGAGAGAACAGGGACAATATCCAAGGCCAAAGTTACAATCTAGACTGGGCTACTTTAGCCTGGTCCCAGATCTGTTTGTGCTCTTGTCAACTCCATGGCTGTCATCATCAAGCCATTAACTGGCATGACAATGAGTGACAGTGAGTTGCTATGAAAGCACAAACAGGCAGGCACTCAGGCTAGGGCTACTCCACGTCGGAGGCATCGTTATCAGAGAGGTGGTAGTTGCTCCCCTTCACCCTGATGTACTCCACCTGCCGGTCCTCGTCAGAGTCTGTGGCCCCGCAGGAGCACAGCTGGTTGTCGAACAGGGACTCAATCTCCTCCAGCCTCCGGCCCTTAGTCTCAGGCAGACAGCCGTAGATGAAGAAGAACCCCAGCAGAGCCAGGCTGGAGTAGAGGAAAAACGCTCCTGGGAAATAACAACAACAACTACAAAATCAACAACACATTATTTGTCAGTCATTATTAGGACCTATAGTTTTTGCCTGACTACCATAAGTGACTTGACCAGGAAGGACCCAAGGTTTTCCTGTACTGACAGCAGAGTTCAGTTCTAGTCTGCAACAGTGTAAAATTCAGTCAAGCACTATCCAGTATCTACTGCGCATTATTAAATGACAGCAAGTAATCAAACATGATGAAACTACATTCATTACACACTGAGCCTATAAGTCTCAAGTCTCTCTCTAGATTAATCAAATGTCCAACAAGAGTCAGATCCTGCAGTAAAAGCAGGCCTGCTGTTCAGGTTGATTGATCAAGGGTGTCCTGTAAGGGGGTATTGATCAGTGATTAGCTGGTCTGTACCGTAGTAGGTGAGGTACTGGGCCACGTGGAGGAAGGTGATGGAGACCAGGAAGTTAAAGGTCCAGTTGACTCCAGCTGAACAGGCGTTCCCTGTGCTCCGGGCCCACAGGGGGTAAATCTCAGAGTTGATTGTCCACGGCATCGGACCCATACCTGGAAGGAGAGGGTTGACACAGGGCTTAGGATAGCTCTACAGTACATTAACTACCCCTCAGTATGCAAACAATGCTGAATCAAGACTTATAGACAGTAAGCACACAAATCAAACCTCCCAAATTACATCAATGCATCGTTAACGCCAAACTTGAAATGAGATATCACATTTTCTAATGATGCATTTCTTTAGTTAGTAGTTGCCCCACAGTGAAAGTGAAATAGAGCATAAATTAGATATATACATAGATCACAGTGTTGTCTCTCTCACCTGGGGCGAAGAAGGCCAGATAGAGAACAAGACCCAGTAGGACCACCCAGGAGTAGGAGGTGGGACAGTAGTTATAGGCCCAGTACGTATGGACTCTCAGCTGGGTCGAGTTGGAACACCTGGAATAACATGGTGTAAGACAGTTATTGTATTGTAGCAACAGTAGCTATGTTATGGATAGAGGGGTACTATGAGTACAGTATTATAGAACCACTTCTCAAGCATTCAAGGAATCTTATTCCAGTCCTTCCACTAACCCCCTCCACAAACACACAACAAATAAACCCACACACTGTGCGCATTATATGACTCACCTGCCCCCTGCTGCCCTATGCGCACACACACACACACTCTCTCTCCCTCCCCTTAGTGCCTCCTTTAGCTCACCTGCCCCAGGCTGCCTTCTCAGTGGAGGCTGTATTGACAGGTACACAGGTGGAGGCGAACAGAGCCGTGCTGTTCTCACGGTAACAGAAGCCACACCCCGGGTCCAACATACACGGCTCACACAGCCTGTGATCACAGAGGAGGATTGGACAGAGATGTCACAAACAGAGACAAGATCCTTGAGGAGGTATAATGGAACACATTTCCACTCTAAATGGAGAAGATGCTAACTTCAGCTCTTTACGCTGATAACTTGCAAATAATCTACAGTGTGTGTGAGTGTACGTATTGTGTGTGTGTGTGTGTGCATCCATGTGTGTGCATGCGTGAGTGTGTAGTGCGGCAAGCGTTGGGCAGACCGATTTCAGAGAGTGTGTTCATTCACAGAGAGAGTAGTTCTAATGACATAACAGCAGACCCATTCCGCCTGCATTAAAAACAAGTCTGTCTTAAATTATTCTGTCTTGTTTGTTGCAGCTGTGAGTGACGAGAGAGAGTGCTGGTAAATATATACTGAGTGTTGAAAACATTAGGAACACCTTCTTAATATTGAGTTGCACCCCCTTTTGCCCTTAGAACAGCCTCAATTCGTCGAGGCATGGACTCTACAAGGTCTCGAAAGCGTTCCACTGGGATGCTGGTCCATGTTGACTCCAATGCTTCCCACAGTTGTGTCAAGTTGGCTGGATGTCCTTTGGGTGGTGGACCATTCTTGATAGACACGGGAAACTGTTGAGTGTGAAAACCCCAGTAGCGTTGCAGTTCTTGACATACTCAAACCGGTGCGCCTGGCACCTCCTACCATACCCCGTTCAAAGGCACTTAAATATTTTGTCTTGCCTATTCACCCTCTGAATGGCACAAATACACAATCCATGTCTCAACTGGCTCAAGGCTTAAAAAATCTCCTCCCCTTCATCTACACTGATTGAAGTGTGACGTCAATAAGGGATCATAGCTTTCACCTGGATTCACCTGGTCAGTCTATGTCATGGAAATAGCAGGTGGTCCTGTTTTATACACTCCGTCCACATGCTGTTGTGTAAATTAGGACAGAGAGTGGCTCAGTCTTTCAGAAGGCAGACAGCGTCTCTTTCTCTCTCTCTTTCACTCTATCTCTCCATCATTTTTATTAACAGAGACCCAACGCCTGTTGCACTGTCGCTAATGGAGTCTGTTGTTGCAGTTAGAATTAACCACTGGGAGAATTTAAAAAACGCTCAGAGCAGAGAGATGAATCTGCAAGGTAAGTGTTCAGAAACATGTACAGCATGTACAATTAGATCGCATTATAGCATTAATTTAGTCCTAGATGGAAGAACAGGAAAATGCATTAAGAAACAAACCCACACACTGTATTGGTCCTGTAAAATGTTCATTAGTGACCATGTTTCGATTCATGGTGGATCAGGTTCATATTGAGAAGTTATTTTACTCCTGCACTTAACAATAAAGTGATGAACATGAAATGTAACCAATATTTTCAGAATAGGACAGCATATTCAGTATTGTGTAGAACAGTAGACTACAGTGCAGATAGAGTACAGTAGTAGAGCAGGGAGTACTCACAGGTGTCTGTTGCAGGTGGAGTTGACCATGGAGGGGTCAGTGGGGTGGAGGGTGACTGGAGGGGTGTGTTGGGCAGAGAGCAGAAACCCAATGGCCAGCAGAGACAGACTCAGACATGTACCTAGGAGAAAACAACACAGTCATACACACACAGTCTAACCAAACAGTGTACTGCTTTAGACATAATATGGGTTACTACTAGTGTCTGTGTAGTTACATGTATTACAATTTCATGTAATACTGTAATTCCACGTAGTCCATGTAATTCCATTAAAATCTATCTGTGAAAGGTATACTGTTATCCAATATGCCATCTATTCACATACACTAAATGTGTCCCTGAATCATCAGGATCCATACATTCATCTTTACCCTGACCCTTACCGATGATGCTCCCCAGGGTGAGTTTCCTGCGGCCAACCCTCTCCACTAGCCACACCCCCAGGAGGGTGAACAGAAAGTTGGTGAAGGCTGTGACCCCAGCCAACCAGATGGCCAGCTTGTCATCCCGCACTCCCGACATCTGCAGGATGGTGGCGCCGTAGTACCTGCACAAAGAGGAGATGGTGGTTCATCAGTCAACAGAACCATAGAGAAAGAGAGAGAATTTGGCCCATAGAGATATAATGTATCTCCATGCTGGTACCGCAGTACCTGCACACAGAGGACAGGATATGGTCATCATCAGTCACCACATGGTTACCATATAAAGAGAGAGTTTGGCTAACTTTGACACTAGCTGGACGCCATGTTGATGAACATAGTGGCCACTATCTGGCCATGCTAGAAAGAACAGCCAGGTAGTAATGTCCTTCTGGAATGGCTATCTACAGACTATAGAGGACAGGACAGGACAGGAAACCCAAAGATCATCATGCCAATAAAGCTTGAGAAAGCAGATAGAAGTAGGAAACAGATTGAAAGAGACAGATCACCATGTGCTAATGATTCTCTCCATAGAGAAGAGGTACACTCCATTATGTTCTTTAGTTGAGTGGCCACCAATCAACCACCCGTAAAGCAATCAACCTGAAATAGACTCAATGAGCCGAGTCTCCATCTATCCACTCCCTTCACTCTTGTATCTGCTTGTGTCCCAAATGGCACCCTAATCCTTAAATAGTGCACTACTTTTGACCAGGACCCATAGGGCTCTGGGCATAGGTAGTGCACTATGTAGGGAATACGGTGCCATTTGGGACGCAACCACTGGTGTCACTGTTTAATTAAAGTGCCACCTTTCTGCCTGGATGCTGCTAAACTCTGCTTCACTTAGGCAGATTACACCTCATCAAGCTCGACAGACAGGGCCTCTAAACATTATCTCCTTGACATTTTAGTCATTTAGCAGACACTCTTATATTAGAGTGATTTACAGTTAGTGAGTGCATACATTATTTCTTTTCATACTGGCTCCCCGTGGGAAACGAACCCACAACCCTGGCTTTGCCAACGCCATGCTCTACCAACTGAGCTACATCCCTGCCGGCCATTTCCTCCCCTACCCTGGACGACGCTGGGCCAATTGTGCGCCGCCCCATGGGTCTCACGTCGCGGCGGCCGGCTACACCACTCTCTAATCAACCCTCTCCCTGCCTCACAAGGCAGAACCCCAGCCTCTGTAGAAAAACACTGTCTACTCTCCAGGTTAAATGAGAAAATACAGACACTCTGAACGCAAAGCAAAGATTCTCACCAAAAAAGACAAGAGAGGAAAACATTCATTAAAAAAGTAAAAAATAAAAGGCATTCCTTTGCTTTCTCTCCCTCACTGTTTCCCTCATTCTCTGCAGGGAGCAGATGTTTTTCCATCTCTTAAAAAGCATCTGCACCCGTCTGCTCTTTTTCAAAACCAAACACTCTTACCGATTGCCTATTTGCATAGATCTTTCCTTTATGTAAGTCAGCCAACATGTTTCTCAACTTGAGTCTAAGGGTCTTGAGGACCACACACAGGGTCAGGAAAAGTCAAGCAAAGCCATTAAGAAAAAACGGAGCCCACAGCACTGGCAATAGCCTCATGTAGTGATGTAACAACATGTTGGGCGGAAGGCAAAAAAGCCGCCTGATTTCTGTCTCGCCTCGCAGAGGCTTTCAATCTCAGTATGCATCTGCCCACACACACACACAGAGACACAGTATGACTGATAAGGGGTTTGTAGTAGCAGCGGGTGTAAAAGCACTCTGCAGTACAGGCCCGCTAAGCTCCATCTCAGGTCTGAATCAGATTGATTAAGAAGCAGCAAGGCCAGCCGGAAGGGAAGCACAGCTCACAGCTAACCAGCCCAGCCAGCTACCCTCTGCTCTGACAGAACATAGCATCACCACCACACCACATTACATTTGACATTTTAGTCATTTAGCAGACGCTCTTATCCAGAGCGACTTACAGTTAGTGAGTGCATACATTTTCATACACATCCACAACAAACATGACTTAACCAGCTACATAGAGTGCTGTAAATACTACATTAGTGTACTTCCAACACAGCATTCAAATACTGCCATAATACAGACTATTGGGTGGTAACCACATGGTGCCAGTTAAAAATCATAGTCTCAAACAGAGTTAGCCAAAGTGTATGTATCTTTAGGCTCTGGGTCCATTCCAGAAATGTGGAATAAAACAGATGTATTTTAGTGGGTGAGACCCCCCCCAGACCACAAGCAGAGGAAAGAAGGAACCTTCCCCAGTCCCTGCTAACGATGAGGCTGCAGGCTCATTCTTGGACTCCCGGGGAGCTCACAGCCCAATTATATAAATTACACTGCCCACTAAAACATTCTACTAATGACGTCCATGTGGCCCTCTGTTGCAGGTGGTGAGATGGTCAAATGGCGATGATACTGTAGATTGTAGATAATAACAGCCTGTGCTAATTGAAATGACTGTGTTCAATTAGTTATTAAATGTAATACATTTTAGACAAGGGTAACTACTCTGAACTGGACACAGCTGGCAGTACAGATGTCATTTGTCATTTCTGACAAGTCTGGAAGGTCTCAGACACTCAATAAAGCTGTCATATATAAAAACAATATTAAAATGATATAGCCTATGTATGACGACCGGAGCGGACGAGAAGTCTGAAGCTCTGTAGCCAAAACTATTAATCCAACACAACTAAAAAGCACCAGGTGTTTATGCAGTATGACTCAGACTTAGGGCTGTTGCGGTGACCGTATCCATGACCAGAGTAAAATTCTATGTGACCGTTGAGTCATGGTAATCTCCTCTTATACACTCGGGACATGAGTTAGTAGTACCCAATTCGCTAATCATCATCAGGTCGCTAATGGCCTGGTATTCAGGGCTCTATTGTCCCTCTAACCACTTTGACATCAATGCAAATGCAATCAAAAATCACATCAAACAGTATGTGCTTTTAAAACTCACGTCACTGTGATTGATCAATTTGAAGAAAGAACAGGTTGAATCTGAGTGAAAAACATGGTCGTTGTGGATGTTTTTTCAAAACCTAACACAACGAAATGAACAGTGCTTTCTAAGATGATGATTAATTCAAAACCACATATGCATATTATAGCTTATGCATTGGCATAGGCCTATATATGAGCCCAAGCCTGAAAAAAACCCTGAATTAAAATAATAATTATACAATACATAGCCTACCGCATATTACACATGGCAGAAAAACATAAAAAAAAGACTGATTTAAGATAACTTTGGAACATAATTGTTCTAGCCTAAATTAAACAAATTCAGAGTTAGCCTATAATTACAGTGAATTTGAATTTGATTTTGAATAGCTTAGTAATAGGGCATAAAAAATATAATAAAAATAATAATAGTCTGACACATTACCTTTAGCTACAGAATATCTCACTACTGTGCGTTTCCATCTCCTCTCCTCTCTCCTTCATTATTTTCTCCAGCATGCAGAGAGAGGAGATGTCAACAGTTTAATGAAATAGCCCATGTTTCATTGTGAAAACATGTTACTATCGATGTTCCCGAACAGATTTTACTTGCTTTCCCAAATGAAGCACTGGGTAGCTGCAGGAACAGGGTTGGAGAGCCCATGGCATACAGAGTTTGGGCGGAATATCACCGGTCATGTGGTGAAATAACCGGAGTAGCCTACCCAACATGAGTGAAATGAACCGGCCCCTATTAGCTATTCGAGTGCATAAGGATGAAATAGATGTTTTTCTCTTGCCCCTGTTCCTGCCCATTTGATAATGGGCCATTCTAAATCAAAACTAATTGTGCATATTAGTAAAGACAATATTAAATTGAGAATAGTCTGATAGGTAAAAATATGAGCACTTGATGAGAGAACAGCGTGTGCAGCCTGAGGCAAGGAAAAGAGCACAAGCTTTTTTTGTGAGTTTCGGAAATCATCAATAGCCTAAAGTCGCATCATACAGCCCATATATATTTTGATTTCCAAGGCATTCTATGGTTTGTATCATTCACAACTAAAGTTGCCAAATAACTCTAAATCTAGCGTATAGGACCTGTTTCAAATGATCACCTTTACGCTCAACATAGCCACATCATAAGTGCACTCTCGCTCCGGAATGGGAAAAATGTACATTCTATTTTATTCAGCTAAGTTCAGTTATATTCTTCTTACTATAAAATCATATAATATAAAATAATGGCACAGGACTTATACGTGTATCTTGTCAGCTAAATGAACTAGCCTACAGCATATGGCATGGTGCATAGCCAGATAACATGACTCATATTCTGTTCTTCTGAAATACATTTTCTTCATATCATAATGTTTCTGTCACGCCCTGACCTTAGAGATCACCTGTATTCTCTGTTTGGTTAGGTCAGGGTGTGATTTGGATAGAATCTACTTTATTCTATTTCTATGTTGGCCGGGTGTGGTTCCCAATCAGAGGCAGCTGTCCATCGTTGTCTCTGATTGGGGATCATACTTAGGTAGCCATTTTGCCTACCTATGTTGTGGGATCTTGTTTCTGTTTAGACTTGTTGCTGTTAGCCTTTAGAACTTCACGTTCTATTGGATTTTGTTATTTTGTCTGTGTTTATAATACACTGCTCAAAAAAATAAAGGGAACACTTAAACAACACATCCTAGATCTGAATGAATGAAATAATCTTATTAAATACTTTTTTCTTTACATAGTTGAATGTGCTGACAACAGAATCACACAAAAATTATCAATGGAAATCAAATGTATCAACCCATGGAGGTCTGGATTTGGAGTCACCCTCAAAATTAAAGTGGAAAACCACACTACAGGCTGATCCAACTTTGATTTAATGTCCTTAAAACAAGTCAAAATGAGGCTCAGTAGTGTGTGTGGCCTCCACGTGCCTGTATGATCTCCCTACAACGCCTGGGCATGCTCCTGATGAGGTGGCGGATGGTCTCCTGAGGGATCTCCTCCCAGACCTGGACTAAAGCATCCGCCAACTCCTGGACAGTCTGTGGTGCAACGTGGCGTTGGTGGATGGAGTGAGACATGATGTCCCAGATGTGCTCAATTGGATTCAGGTCTGGGGAACGGGCGGGCCAGTCCATAGCATCAATGCCTTCCTCTTGCA